CTTTCTTTCTTTCTTTCTTTCTTTCTTTCTTTCTTTCTTTCTTTCTTTCTTTCTTTCTTTCTTTCTCTCCTTCCTTCCTTCCTTTCTTTCTCCCCTTCCTTCCTGTTTTCTTTCTTTCTTTTATTTCTTTTTTTTTTGGATTTTCAAGACAGGGTTTCTCTGAACAATAGCTCTGGCTTTCCTGGAACTCACTTTGTAGAGCAGGTTGGTCTTGAACTCACAGAGATCTGCCTGCCTATGCCTGCCAAGTGCTGGGATTAAAGGTGTGCACCACCACCTCCCAGCTATACACTGATTTCTATACAGATTCATATATCTGCATCATACAAAAATATATGTACCTCAGTGCTTCTACCTGTTTTTTCCAAAATTCCAGGCATCTAAGTGCACATGTATGGGTGTAAGTTGGTAAAACAAACCTGTATATCTGTGCCTTCCATGCTTCACTCATGTGCCCGTTTTCTTCCCAGCAGGTCCACTGAACTTCTTTCAGGTGGTCACAACACAGACTGCCTATCTAGATACAAGACAGTTTTTGGCTTTATGAAGCAGTCGCTCAACACACAGGACTGAAGATGGCATGCCCCTCAGCATAGTTCTTCTAGCCTTCATCTGTAGTGGGTAGCTGTTCTAGCTTTGACCTGGAAGTACTACCCCCATTGAGGCTTCTGTTAACTTTCAAGCCTACCTATGGCCTGCCCCTGAGGCTGGCCAAGATCAGAGCCCTTAAGACCTGAGATCCAGATGTGATGGTTCTCTTGGTTCCTGGTAATCCTGGATGCTGGATGGTACCCAGTTATCCAGAGAATGCTGCTTGACTGCACTTCACCTTTCCTGGATCTGTAACCTATCCCTTTACTTGTAAGTTATCCCCCAAAATAAATCTTCCTTTTAACTATGTGAAGTTATCTTAATATTTCCACCAATATTCATCTGCTTCAGACATTATCTTTGTCTCTCTTTCCAACCATGGCTTCAAACAGAGCTCTGATAGTCAGAGACTCACACTGTTTCTGCTCATCCCCAAAACAGATGCAGCCCATCACTGTGAATTATACTGCTAAATGTCCCAACAAAGCAAATTTTAAGACAGTCTTATTTCAATGGAGCTCTCTGACATATTACTTCATGGTCATTATCAACCTAGCCAAACTGTTTGTGCCTGTATTGCTTCTGTCTTTGACTCTTTTCTCTCACTTCATGCCAGTCCTAAAAATTTCCACTCTTGCCTGCCCAGGAACAAGATCACAGGGAGCTTCCCAGGTACCCAAAATGTTCCCTTTACTGTACACATGTATGTTTGAAAAAACAAACAAACAAACAAATAAACAAACAAAAAACCCTGAAAACTCAGACCCCTCTGAAAGGTGACTTGCCAAAGCTGGTTGTCAGCAAGGGAGAAGAGTGACTTGGAAAAGTTTGCCAGACTTATAGAGTACTTGGGTCAGTGGATGTGCTGTATCTTAGTCTTGATTAGAATGATGATAATGAGTTTTCACTTATTTTGTTCATCTCTTACAATGAAGGTTGAATATGAATAACCATTTGGTCCACCCAAGCTGGAGGGTATTATCAATAAGGTGGTCAGTGTACTCTGAAACTTGCAGAAAATTGGGAAGTATGATGAACTCTACGACCTTCTGCATCCAGGAGAAGAGGGTACCTTGCCTCCCCAAGGTGGTAAATGACAGTTCTAAATGTGGGAAATGGAAACCCGAGACTTTTAGATTTGTTTTGGATGTTTAATTCTAGCAGTTCCACCAAGACCTTAGAGTCATGAGCATCTTGGAGAATTCAAATAATGTTTACCATTATCCTCTACTTTTTTCTGTAGGATCTGAATTTTGAACTGCATTGCATGAGGCACAGTTGGGTGTCTTCACCCATCTAGAAATGATGTTGTGCCTCTTCTTATTGGACTGAAGGCATGCCGATCATGGAAATCAAACCTTGAGATAGCAACATAAAACACATACAATCTCTACAGGGGAAGAGCTACAACAGCATTGGTGTTTCAATATTCCCATCTGGTTGGAAACACCAGGTAACACCTCCTCTTTACTTCACATGCTCTCCACACACCCTCCTAATCAGGCTGCCATGTGCATGGGATATATTCTCCAAAACTTTCTCTGGAGGAAAGTTGTTTGAATGCTAAGGTCTTGTTCTCCATTTGTCTCTCTGGCCTTCACAAGTGTCTTTGTACCATTTTTATAGTGTCATTGACAAAAATCCCAAGCTTTCCAACACATCAAATTCCTCCAACCAAAGCAAACCAGTGTTAAATTTCCATCATAGGCCTTCTTCTGCCATTGTTTCTCCTTCTCAGTGTTAGCCTTGATTGCATTTCCAAGGACAACCTCACTGGGTTTTGCTGACCTGTGCTAACCATAATTCTGGGCATTTCCACAGCTAAACTATGCCTCCATGAACATCTCTTTCAAGTAGGAAGTATTCCTCCATGCTGCCTTGCCTCAAAGTGTGTGTACAATTCTCTGTCCAATTTGATAGAGAATGGTTAACCTGCTGTACTGGTTGTATGTCTACCTCTCTATCAATACCGGAATACAGGTCATTCTGTCTAGGGTAATGGGACACCAAGAAAAAAGCTCTCTCTCTCTCTCTCTCTCTCTCTCTCTCTCTCTCTCTCTCTCTCTCTCTC